AAAAAAAAAAAGAAGAAATTAATTCATAAATGAAAAACAATATAAAAATCCCGACAGGGGAATCGAACTCACACCTTCTTGATGCGACGGTGAAGCGCTCAACTACACCACAGGCGTCTGTGAAATCTCCGTAGACGAATAGGAGGACCGAGAGAAAGAACTAGCATCATTTATCACACTTGCATTGGTGTATGGTTGGCGGGTGCTCTGGGGTGGTTTGTTCCTTCTTTCCTATCAAACATCTATCGCTATAATCTCTCCTAGGCTACTGCCTTTCTCTGTTTGTTACTCTCTTGTAACACCTCTAATCTTCGGCACTTATATGACCTTATTGTGTTGCAAGTGCTGTTAAACTTTTACTAAGAGGGTGGTTGTCGGGTGCTCTTGTGTGGTTTGCTTCTTCTTTTCTTTTTTCCTGTCAAACATGATCTATCGTCCTTATCTCCCCTTCTCCTTTTTTATGTTTGTTACTCTTTTGTAACGCCTCTAATCTTCTGGCGCTCATATGACCTTATGCAGTTGCGAGCGCCGAAAAACCTCTACTAAAACTAAACTAAAACTCGTACTCAAATTCCAAGTCAAAACTTGATGTGATGGTGAAGCGCTTAAAACTACACAACAATCTCTTTAGACGAGTGGGATGACCAAGAGAAAGAATTAGCATCATGGATCACACTTGGATCAGTGGATGGTTGGCGTGTGCTCTGGTGTGATTTGCTCCTTCTTTCCTATCAAACATGATCTATCGTCCTGTTCTCTCTTACTTCTTTTTTGTGTTTGTTACTCTCTTGCAACACCTCTAATCTTCAGCACTTATATGACCTTATTATGTTGCAAGTGCCGTTAAACTATTACTAAGAGTGTGGTTGTCGGGTGCTCTTGTGTGGTTTGCTTCAGCACTTATATGACCTTATTGTGTTGCAAGTGCCGTAAAACTCTTACTAAAACTAAAGTGACGAGTGGGAAGGCCGAGAGAAAAAATTGGTCGTTTTTTCTTTTAGGACAAACGGACTGACCCAGATTTCGGGGATTTCCAGAAATCTTAACCTACTCCAAAAGTGGGCACTATCTCTCCTTTTTTGTGTATGTTATTCTTTTGTAACACCTCTAATCTTCGGACTTGTGTGACCTAATTGTGTTGCAAGTGCCGTAATACTAATTCTCTTACTAAACAGAAGACTCTGAGGGCTGTTGGCAGATGCTCTGGTGTGGTTTGCTCCTTTGCAATCAAACACCTATCGTCTTTATCTCTCCTTTTTTTGTTTGTTTGTTACTCTCTTATCTTCGGCACTTATATGACTTAATTAAGTAAATCTCTTACTAAAACTAAAAAAGAAGAACCCGTCAAGGCCCTCGCACAATGTATAGCTGAATTTGGCAAAGTCTTTTAGGCGATGGACAGCAGTCAAGGTGCCATGCCTCTCAAAACATTAGAGGGTCGGACCCACTGAAAAGGAACGAACCCCCAGGGGCGCTGCTACTAACTGAAGTGTCTTTGGGACATTCCCAAAGGAGGCACATCAACATCTCGAGTTCTCATGAACAGTTGAATTGTAATTCATCAATGTCATACTAATAACTGTGCCTGAACTGCAACAGGGAACTGCTGCTTTTCTTTCTTAATCCTTAGGCCTACTATCGTCGTTTTTCCGGGGCACCTTGATAGTCGAAGCAGACTTTGTGCTGTTGAGGCTAGAGAGGGGAGCAGAGTAAGTTTGATTCCCTGTGTGTAAGGACTTCTCTGTTGACATCCACACCCCTTGGCGCTCATATGACCTTATGCATTTGCGAGCGCCGTAAAACATCTACTAAAACAAACATTCGGAGATGGATGGGGGTCAAGGGGCCATGCCTCTCAAAACATTAGATTTAGAAGTGCCCAACCCACTGAAGAGAACGAACGACGAATGTGTGAAAACCTTGTGTTGACAGTGAATGGTTTAACCCTATCCGTACGTCGTGTTTTAGCATCGTATCCATACGACGTGGGGAACTCTGTGTCGCCATTTAACCATATCCGTACGTCGTGTTTTACCATCGTATCCATGCGACGTGGGGAACTCTGAGTCACCACTTAACCATATCCGTACGTCATGTTTACTATCGTATCCATACGACGTGGGGAACTCTGTGCCACCTCTTAACCCTATCCGTACGTCGTGTTTTACTATCGTATCCATACGACAAGGGAGCTCTGTGCCACCACTTTCCAAAGAGGAAATTTACTCATTAATCCGATCCGTACGCTTTGCATAGCAGTCCTTCAAAATGATTTTTTGAGAAATACTGAAAGTTTCAAAGAGATCTTC